CTCGGCCCTTAAAGGGGAAAGGTTGCCTACCCCTGCTCCAATCCATTCCGGGAAACAGAGGGAACTGAAGGTGGGATAGCTTTCAAACATCAATCCCGCCTTCTTTTGCAACATCCCTTCACTCTGTTCCCACCATATCTTCCTTTTCCCCCGCACAACCTCAATTTCCTGTCCCAGACCATTCCCGGCCACTACAAGAGATGATGGTATTAAGGCAACTGGATGGCCTCCTTCCCAGTGTTCTCCCAACAGCGCTGCTATAGATAGTACTGGTATTGGGTGGGCTAACTGTCCCTCTCACCAACTCCCCCCCCCTCCAACAATGCCACCACAAATGGTAGTGGAGTTGGGGAAGGTCTATAATACAGCCAGACATCCCTTCATGAAAAAAGTTGTGCCCAAAGATGTCAAAAGCTGGGGACGGGGGGCTAGGTAGCCTCTGCTGGGGACTCTGAAGCCATGCCGCCGCTGACTCCGCTGATGTTAAAGGGGCTGATGGGGTGGGCTAGGTAGTCTCAGCCGGTTCCTCCAACTGCCGCAAATGTTAAGGGCTGGTGGAGGGAGGGCTAAATAGCCTCTGCTGGGGCCTCTAAAGTCAATGTGAGATCAATGTGAGTAGGATGTAGGAATGTCTATGGATTATTCCAACAGATCCCTTCTTCATCCCCCCCCTCCAATTCTTCCCTTTATTGTATTTGCTTCTTGCCTGGCTGATTAATTACTCAAAAGACACCTCTAGGGGAGAATCAATAGGCATAGAATGGGTTAATCAGACAATGCCAGTTACAAAGAAGACTTGTGTTTTGTCCTTTATAAGAGAGAGTCTTGAAAAAAAGAGCGAAAAGAAAAAGATCCACAGAAGTAGTGGATTATTTAAGACAAAACTGTGGTTCTGTTTATGTCTTCATAAACTAAAACAAAATGTTTCTCTTTTACTTGTCCTCCCTGTAGGGGGAGAAAAAAAGAATACGCTCTATTCATTCATAGGTGCCTATGGCAGCGCTACAGATTTCTTCCAAAGGAAGGTCAAAGAGTCTCATTTTTTAAATCTTAATTGATTGTGACTGATGTCCAAACTAAAACACTTGTGACCTTCATGATTTCCCTTCTAGAGGAAGCCAAAGCCAGAGAGCATTGCCACCTGACAGATGGTAGTCACAAAGTGAGAGTCAGAGTTATCAAGGAGATGTAGATCTAAGTTCAGATGTTTTCATTGTTACTTGCACTTGAGCAATTCACCTGGGGAGGTCTTCAGACAAAAGCTTAAAAGCTCTCAGCTGGAAATGCTCTAGCTTGGAATTTCATGCCCCAGCCAGGGGACTGGACTAGAAGGCCTAGCTGTTTTATGACCCCTGTATGTAAAATGAGAGTTGCAATTTCATTCCCAGACCTTTTGTGAATGAATCTGCTAAAAACAGGAGATGTGAATCACCACTGTGTTTAAGTTCTCGCAATGCTACATTCAGATAATCCTTTGCTGATTCATTCACCCAACAGCTCAGAAAGCTATGTATATCACTAAAATCATGATACCTGTCACATTTATTTTTCCATTAATGTTAAGATGTTTGGCTCCCTCTTTTTATCCAAGAGAAATTAAAAGCATTGAAAAGGAATGACTTGGACCTGATCATGTTCTTGTGGACAGAGACATTTGCTTCAGGCAAGGCACATAGAGCTACTTCCTCCTTTTAACCACAGAGTTTCTTCTAGAACGATGGTTTCAGCACATTTTCAACACCATCACCATTATATCATACAGGAGTTCTATGGTGAAGTGCTCTAATTATGCTTCCTTTACAGACATATTTTTTTCCCTTTAAGTGCAAGTAGTTTGAATCCCTTTCTAACACCCTTTGGCTTTTCCCTACCCTCCGTTTTATTTTGTTTTGTGGATGAAAGTTCTTGAAATGAAAGGCACAGTGGTATCCTTTTATAAAACACAGAGATTTTGATTTAAAGCAGAGTCTGCTTTTCCAAAACATGTCCCCTTTGCAAAAGCATAATATAGACTGTTTCATAGTATATACAGGGGTTGCATCTGTAATGTGCAGCATCAGTGAAAGAAGAACAAGAGTGGAACAGTGTGCCACGTATTTCTGAAATATTAATCTGGCAAAACATCTTCCAATCACTTAAAGAAAAAGTATGTTGATCTAGAGATGTTTGAAATTGTGGGGAGTCACTTTGTATCTCACAGTTTATGCTTTGCAATAGAACAGAAGCACCAACATCTTCCTTCAGCACATTCCCAAAAGTCTCCAATTACACTACAGCACAGGAAACAGAAGTGTGAGGCAGAAGCAAACAGAGGAGAGTGTGCATGGAGAAATGACGTCTCTTTTCGTCTCCCTTTGTTTTGGGGTTTTGTTT